CAGAATTTAGTTTTTTCAGTGATTGTTAAAAATGATTCAATGACAGTGCTTCTAATTAATGTCTCCTCAAACCTCACACACATAAATACATAACTAAATACAACTGGTATTGTAATTTTACTTTGATCGCAGCAGGGTCATCAGCAAGTGTAGATTACCCCTTCACAATATTAAATAATTGTATTTCTCATAAAATAAGTTTAATTACTGCTGAACATGACAATGCTTTTTATATCCGATTACTTGTCAGAATAATCAATAGATTACTAAAATAATCGTTAGCTTCGTCTTCATGATTCCCCCTCAGGGCCAGGAAATCAAACGTGTCTTATAAGAACGTGTCTCAGATGCCCAGAGAAAAGGAGATCAGGGACATGAAGATTTACATCGACAAGAAGTACGAAACTGTCGTCATGCCCGTTTTTGGCATCGCCACACCGTTCCACATCGCAACCATCAAGGTACAATGAGGTTTAAACTTTACTGAACRTCCTCAAGCTGGCATTCACTGATCAACTTCACTTTATGTCCCCTTTTTTTGATAGAACATCAGTATGTCTGTAGAAGGAGACTACACCTACCTGAGGATCAACTTCTACGTCCCCGGCAGCTCTCTTGGGCGACAGGAAGGAAACATCTTCCCCAACCCCGATGCTACGTTTGTCAAAGAAATGTGAGTTTGTGTAAGGACACTTTCTGTAGAAGTATTTTATATTCCCTRACTGAACTGAACGTTATCATGCCTCCAGCACGTACCGAGCGTCCAACCTGAAGGCTCCAGGCGACACGTCGGTGCCTTCCACCAACCTGCAGAACGCCTTCCGCATTATCAAGGAGGTGCAGAAGCGCTACAAGACGCGAGAAGCAGAGGAAAAGGAGAAGGAGGGCATCGTCAAGCAGGACTCRCTGGTCATCAACCTGAACCGCAGTAACCCCAAACTCAAAGACCTCTACATCAGACCCAACATCGCCCAGAAAAGGATGCAGGGCTCGCTGGAGGCTCATACCAACGGTGCGGGAACAGAAACCACCTCAGGAGAAGCGTTGGCCCGATAACTYGTTAAAGCTCTTTACCCTTGCCTTCTCAGGTTTCCGCTTCACTTCGGTCCGAGGAGATAAAGTGGACATTCTTTATAACAATATTAAACACGCCATCTTTCAGCCGTGTGACGGCGAGATGATCATCGTTCTGCACTTCCACCTTAAGGTTGGGAGCTTTGACGGAGTTGCTGCTCTTTATACGACCGTGTGTTGGCCGTACGCCTGACCTGCTTGTTGTCCCCCCATCAGAACGCCATCATGTTCGGTAAGAGGCGCCAYACGGACGTCCAGTTCTACACGGAGGTCGGGGAGATCACCACAGACCTGGGCAAACACCAGCACATGCACGACCGGGACGACCTGTACGCCGAGCAGATGGAGCGCGAGATGAGGCACAAGCTCAAGTCCGCCTTCAAGAACTTCATCGAGAAGGTGGAGACGCTGACCAAGGAGGAGCTGGAGTTCGAGGTGCCCTTCAGAGACCTGGGGTGAGTCCATCAGAACGTGGAAAATAAAACTTTATACTGACGCGCCACAAGAAAACACTCGGACCCATAGACATGGTCCGAGTGTCTAGGATTCCACTGTTGGCTGATASCAGTTTTAAATAGTTCACACTGTCTGGTGTTATAAGTTCACGGTCCACCTTCAGTCTTWTTTTATTGRACAACATTGAACAATATATTTGAAACAATACAAACTTGTTTTAACTGGACAGTAGTTAAAGCTCACAGCAGAGCAGAAGGAGATGGTTGATTTTCAGAACTTATTGGAGGTAGATAAGAAGCTGATCTTTAATAAGTATCAGCCAATCTCCCAAAATTTAGGAAATCGGTGCAGATAAATCAGCCAGCCAAWATATCTGTGCATAGACAGTTTTCTTTCTCCAAAGAGAGGGGCCCAACAGGAAACCTCTGAGAACAAGTGAGGTAGATGTTGAAAGCAGCATCAGGCAGTTTAAATCTGGACGTTTTCAGCTGTAGAAGTCTCGTGTTTTCAGCTTTTCTGAAACTGTCTGGAGTTTTTGTGTTTACAAACAGGATGGGATCAGTACCTGAGTGTTTCCTCTTTTGGTCGCTCACGTTCCAAAAGTGCAGTTCTGTACCTGAGTAGGCAGGAAGCAGTGCGATTAAATGTAAACACTGGACAAAACAAACGTGTCGGATAATTTAATCTGCTCTGATTGCGCAACAACCTCAGAATGGACACACACAGTAACATGTAACATTCATACATGTGATGTCATGCCTTCTTSTGTGTGGAGCGGTCACTCTGGAGTCTGATGGAGGGTGCTCTTAATGATGCAGTGTTTTATTTTGAGGAAGAGGACTGCGCTGTGACAACAGACTGATGCTTTAATCTGTGGTGTTTTCAGGTTCCAGGGCGCCCCCTACAGGAGCACCTGCTTACTACAGCCTACATCTAGTTCTCTTGTCAACGTCACTGAATGGGTGAGAACTACGTTTGCAAAACTTCACAAATTTTCAAATTGGGAAATTTTCCCCGAGACTTCCTGTTTATTTCTGAAAATTAAGAGGAATTCAGTTCATTATTTTCAGCAGATTTAAGTCTAATACTTGATGTTTTTGAGACAAAGCAGAATTGGACATGGTACGGTTTGGTTCARTTACCTCCAGTTTCCTGTTAATTCCCAGGAATTCACATGGAAAGTTTCCGTTCAGCGATGTTTCTACGTATTCCTACTTTTACAACAATGACTGTTCTTGGTTTTGTTCTTAGCCGCCGTTTGTGGTGACCCTGGACGAGGTGGAGCTGGTCCACTTTGAGCGCGTGCAGTTCCACCTAAAGAACTTCGACGTGGTCATCGTCTACAAGGACTACAACAAGAAGGTCACCATGATCAACGCCGTGCCCGTCAACTCTCTGGACCCCATCAAGGAGTGGCTGAAGTAAGGGTGTCGCTGGGCGTRGCGTCAGGCGTTAACGCAGGCGGAGGTTTCACTCGCTTGTCTCTGGTTTCTTCTTCTCAGCTCCTGTGACATCAAGTACACAGAGGGAGTCCAGTCTTTGAACTGGACCAAGATCATGAAGACCATCGTTGATGATCCGGAGGGTTTCTTTGAGCAGGGAGGCTGGTCTTTCYTAGACCCCGAGAGCGAAGTGAGAACCCGCTTTTGTATTTCAAACCCTTCTTGTTCCTTTAATGTTTCTTGTTTTACGTCGTGAACTTATTCAGCGTTTTAAAGACATTTTGCAGATGAAAAAGAACTCGGAAAAAACTTGATTATGTCACGTATTTTCAAGACCAAAAAGGAAATTCTTTTATGTAGAGAAGTCTTAAATTTGCAAAGTAAAAAAACTCAAATTTCTGTCATTACAGGCAGAATGTTTTGATCATATTTAAATACTTTGACATTGTAAATTGTAATTTACATGAAAAAAAAAACTTCGCAAATTTACTTCAAAGGACTCTTCTACA